TGAGGAGAAGTATCCAACCTGAAGAAAGACTAGCAGTAACATTGAGGTAAGAAAAATATATAGTAATTATTTAAATTTTTATTCATTAAAAATATTGGAAATTACATCATCGGACATTACAGAACATGATGAAAGGTCTTCAAATTGAGAATTTTGGTCATCAGCCATTGATGTAGAGGGGCCGGTTGCTGATCTAGAGGGACCAGGCACTGATGTAGAGGTAGAGGGGCCAGTATTATAACCCCATGGTCCACGATAATCATTAAACGATGAATATCCCCTGTCACCATAACTCGAAGGATATGTGTGATTTGTCATCCCTTTAAAGTATTTCACTACGTTAAGTATTTCGGTCTTAGCATCTAATTTATAATGCTCATTAATTTTTTTGAATTCGCCAACTAATGATAGTAAAAACAATTTATCTTCATCTTCATTATCAATGCGCGAATTCTGCGTTTTTTCATCTAAACGTTTGGATAATTTTTCAATTAAGACGTTCTCATCTGTGATTTTAGTAGTTAATTTTCTTTTGTTTCTTTCTCTGGGTATTTTATTTTGACCATTTTCGGTTTCTCCGGACGTAATTTCAGTGTGCTCACTCTCTTGTAAACTATTTGTTTTGTCGGGTCTATCTTCTATTATTGCCTTTAAAAAAGACATCTGCTGATAATATGCATATGGCCGAATGTTGAGGGCTGCTGAACCACTCTTTGGTTTAATTTTTTTAGCATATCTGGTGTATCCATCTCTTAATGTTTTCCATTTTTTCTGTATTAACATGGCTGTAACAACAAAAAAATATAAGTTAGTATAATTGATTGATTTATAAATATGTTTTACAGGTATTTGGCAACTGGATGTACATTTATGGATTTGCAATATAGTTTTAGAATAGCATCAACAACAATAGGTAAGATAGTGAGGGATGTTTGCAGAAATATATGGATACATATGAAGGATATGTGTATGGAACAACTAACTAAAGATAAGTGGAAAGACATAATAAATGGTTTCAAAAAAATGCTCAGTTTCCGAACTGCCTCGGTGCCGTTGATGGCAAACATATTAGAATAATACAACCCGCGCAAAGTGGATCGTCATATTATAACTATAAAAATTATTTTTCGATAATACTTCTAGCAGTATGTGATAGTAATCATATGTTCACTTTCGTGGATATAGGCTCATATGGAAGGCACGCTGACTCGACTATTTTCGAAGAGAGTTGTCTATATAAAATGTTACAAGAAAAAAAGTTAAATATACCTCCACCTTCTGCAATATCACAAAATGGACCGTTATTACCGAATGTGTTTATTGGGGATGAAGCGTTTAGCTTGCAGGAAAATTTAATGCGTCCATATGGTGGCAAGAATTTACCAGAGAAAAAAAATTTTTAACTATCGGTTATCACGTGCGAGGCGATATATTGAATGCACGTTTGGCATATTAGCTAATAAATGGCGGATCTTTCATAGACCACTCAACGTCAACGTTGATTTCGCAGTGGATATAGTAAAATCATCGTGTGTTCTTCACAACTACGTAAAACAACGAGATGGAAATAAATTTGAGGATACGTTTGAGGGTCTTCCTTATTCTATAATACATTCAACCCAGCAAGTTCGTCCAGGTGGACCTATGTTAACAACAATCCGTGAAGAATTTGCTAATTACTTTGTGAGCGAAGAAGGCAAACTAGATTGGCAATGGAATATGATATAAATCAAAAGGGCGCCGTCCGTATAACATAGCCTCTGTATTCTTTTAAATATTAAAAATATAATAAGAAGCAAAACAACTATTATATTGTTACCAGTCTGTTTTTAATAATAAATAAAATAATAAATGTGTGTGTTAAATGACTGACTTTTTTACTTACCGATTTGATTTTTTTCTTCAACTGGTTTTTCATCAAAGTTCTCAATTACTTGGGCACAAATAATTGCCCATGCATTGTTCTTCTTTATTTTGTCGCTGTGTTCCTTAAGTTTATAGTTCCAAATAAGTTCTTGCGTTTTAATTGCGCTAATAAGGGCATCACTATCGCACACGCCCTCCATGTTCAAAAAACAGCCGGCAAATGAGAAAACAGACGCCGCGAGGCCGCAAAGGGCGGGGGGAGAGGGAAGTCGGAGAGCTGTCGACTGCTCTAGCGCAGTCAACGGCTCGAGCAGTCGGTGTATGCCTCGCAACCGCTCGCGAGCGGTCGACGGCACGATGGAATTTCATCATGCAGTTGACGGCTTGAAGCGGTCGCGACTGCTCGAGCAGTCGTGTGTACGGCAGCGAATGAATGACTATAGTTCACTGCGCGGTCGCGGCTTTAAGCAGTCGGTCTCAACTGCTTGAAGCAGTCCGTGTACGGCGGCCCTTAACCGTGCCTATGGTTCTTTCTACAAGACCATTAGACTGTGGAAGATAGGGACTTGATGTAATATGTTGAATTTGCCAAGTAGTGGCTCTTTGGAATTGCTGCGTCTGTTAGTGAGACAGCTATGACAATTATTTACATATTTTTCTATATCAGAGTACATATTAGGCCAGTATACTAGATTTCTTGCCAATCTTTGGCAACTATGAATGCCCTGGTGACCTTCATGGATCTGTTTCAATATGTCATTCCTCATGGCTACTGGTATAATGACACTGTTGTTTTTGTTTGGCGAGTAGATCCTTGTAGGTGATCTTATCTATTTCAGTATTAAACGAGTAAAATATTTGGAGAGCGTCTGAGCCAATAGTTTGTAACAAAATGGCTACCTTTCTTTTGTCTGATTCTTTTTCCAAATCGTTGGCAATCATATAAATACCAAGACTAGTTTTAAAGTTTCTCCAAGCCAAAGGCATATTCGAGGCGTTAATATCAATACTGAAATTACTCGGCGGCAGAGGACAACTTGTACTTTTATCCGACATTTTTAGGCTGAACCACGCGGCGACGTTTTACGTGAAAATTTTTGTAGCGTTTATCTCTGTCGGCTTCTGTGTTCTTTTCCGGTTCACTACTTAAACTTCTGACACCATGTTATAGTGGGTGGCCAGGTAAGCGGTTATTAAAATAAGACAACATTGCAATTATTCACACACATATATATTCAGCCATGACAGGCGGTCCGAGACATACTGTACTATACAGGAAACGGAAACACATAGACAACATTAAATCACAGATACGTAACACCACGTATGGTGTGTGGTATGCTCGGGGTAGTGGTATGGTTTCTCTAAAGTTGATGTATCTCTGATGAGTTAATAAGATTCTATCTTGAATCTGGATTTTGCAGCTACTGTCTGTTGTTATTAGGAAAACACCTTTATTTCGTTTATATTGAACATCCTTGTTGCAGATGGTTTCATGATTACTATCCAGCTGTTGTCTTTGATTTGTTGAATGATGTTGTTTTCGTAACTTGCTGTTGCGTAAGTGCAGTTATGCGGCTCTTGATGTTGTATTAGTTGAGCTATGCCATCATTGGAGTGTAATAAGGTTTGCCATTCAAGATGCTTGCAGATTACTTCATATTCTGCTACAGGGTTCATAGGGGTATGCAAACTCGTTATTTCCCAAGATAAGGTAAAGATTTTTGGGTATGAGGATAGTGTTGTTATTATTAGGGATATAATATAGGAGGTTATATGGCTGTTCCGCCACTATAGGTATGTCCAGAATAAAGTTTAGTGTTTCATTAGTACTGTAGGCTTTTACTTTGATGGCCTTTACCCACGAATGAATATTGTTAATATTTGGTGCGAATGCTAAATTACCGTTGATTTCATTTTGTATTCGATTAAATACGAAACGTCGATTATGCTAGGGTGCATCTTTTCTAAGTGCGAGAATGTTATCGCATTTTAAAGGGATCCTAATCTATCGTAAAGTTGCTGAAGTGAGCTTTCAATTTGATTGAATATAGTTACTGTTAAGAAATTGGTTTCGAATTCCGTCCTTTTCACAATATCTATCTATTTTCCTGTAGATTTTCTTTTGGTTACTTTTAATTATGTTTAAATTATTCTCGTAATCTCTCATGAAATTCTGCATTATGTTTATGCTTTTACGTTGGTTTACCCTATGTCATTGATGATTTTACTAATCTTATTTCGTTATCGAGTTTGATAGCATCTTCTTGGTCGAGGTTTCCTGTGATAGATTTTATTATTGAACCTAAACCGTTTATTAAGCCACGTCTCTGGCGGTAACTTGTCTTAAAACCTAAGGTATTCAATCCTAATTAAAGTAACTCACTTTCTATGTTATCTATGAGGTAGTCTAATTGCTTAAAGATATTGGTGAAGTCTGCTGAACTGTTTTGTTTCAACTTAAGTGTATAATAATTTCTACATATCTCTACGTATATCTCTAATTTTTGTTGTATAATAGATAACTGCTAAGTGATAAGTGTCGATCTGATATTGAGCTTTTGCTTCGTTTAATACCAGAATACCATTATGGTTATCTATTGACTGTATGGTCGCTGTTGTTGTGGCGAGCTGGAGCACTGCGAGGCAAGCGATGGCGTTCTTTTATTCTAAAAAAAAATAATTCAGCTTATAAATTAGCTATAGAATTACGTAAAAATTATATTTTTTTTATTTTTTTTGCCAAAAAACACCATGTGCCGTTTTTAGCACTGCATGCATTCGACACATAAATTATGTAGTACATTAATTTTTTGTGAATTTCATTAAAACAATTTGTAGATTTCTTTGCACAGAAATGTACCATACACTTACTGCACATAGTAACTGTTTTCAAATTACATGATGGGAACATACACCTTTGTCTGTTAGGCATTCTTATTTGTTCATGTCCCACTCCATCGAGTATCACATCAAATGAGGGCAAATCTTGACATGGTTTTCCTTTTCTTATTTTGGAAGGAGGCTCCTGCATAGAACTTGAACTTGGACGACCCCTTGCAACAGGTGTGGAGTATTTGCATAATATGTCCGCTAGCTCTGACCGGAAACTTCCTAGGTCCATAATTTCTTATTTAGGGGTGTTTTTTCGACTGCGTACTTGCTTGTAGAGAATCCATGATATTTAGATCCAAAAGATGGTTAAATATTCTCATGTACCGTTTCCTGCTTTTGATCTGAATTTTATACCGACCTAGATGGGCGTCCATTAGGTCTACTCCTCCCATATGAGCATTATATTCCATCACTAATCTTGGGCATTTAATTTTGATTTTTCGTTTCTCTTTTTTATCATAGCGTTCTATTTTTTCTACTGGTTCAGCTCCAACGTATGTAGAAGTAAGGATAACTTGTTTGTTGTCTTTCCAAGAGACTGCAGTAATCTCAACATCTTCGACATTTGTGGTATATTCTGCGTACGTTCCTCTCGGCACAGAGCTTTTCATGACCTCTTGTTTGGACGGTAACTTACACGTTTTTCCTAAACGATTTCTTTGGATAGTACCTAAGGAATAGATACCTTGCGTTTTTAAAAAATGCAGCAGTGGTATGGATGTGTAATAATTATCGAAGTACACAATGTGGTTTCGTTGGCGAGAGACCACTCTCAGTATCTTCATAACAGTTTGTGCCACCACTCCAATGTCAGGTTCATCTGGAGGCCTCTCTTCATTTTCTTTGCCTGCATATATAATAAATTTGTACGCATAGCCAAGCAAGCTACAAAGCACAAATAGTTTGAAGCCCCACTTGTGAGGCTTATTAGGCAGATATTGTTTCAAAAAGTGTCCCACCTTGGTTGAGCACATCTGTTCGTCGATAGACAATCTTTGTGCAATAGGTACACTACAAAACCTTTGGTTCAAGTGATCTATCACAGGTCGAAGTTTGTGTAATTTATCATGATTTTGATGACTCACTGGCAGGTGTTTTGTGTTATCATTGAAGTGTAATATTAATAGTAATATATCTTTTCAAATTTATTTACAGCCATAGCTTCTCGAATTGGGTTGAACCCAAATTTACCCCAGTATGATCTTATGTTGGGGTAGCGGTAGACAGACATGAAAGTAACAATACCCAAATATTTGAGAAAATCATTCTTTGTCAATATTTCAGTTCGATTGGGCTGTTGTTGAATAGCGTATAAGTTTGATTCTTTAATAATGATTTATATCAACTCATCAGTAAAGAAGTAATTGAAGAATTGGAACGGCGTGCTTAGCTCCATGATGTCATTAGGGAATTCATCAGACCCTAAGAAAGCTATTTTATCTTCCTCAAAAACCAGGTTCCGTTTCCTCCACAATAGATTTCGACTGGTTGACAAGAAACTTGAGCTCTGAGAAGTACTTAGGGCGTTGACATCTACAAGTAAAGGAGGATCATTATCACAGCCAGGAGCAACGTCATCGCCTTCCAAAGGTGGATCATCTTCATTGAACTGCTCAGTACTCTCAGCAACAGCTCCTTCGTCAGCTTTTAAATCATCCAAAAGTTCCTGTCGACTTGGATAGAAATCCAATTCACCTCCATCAGATTCGCCGTTATCTTCGGAAAGTTCGCCATTTTCTAGCTGGCGAAGCAGTTTTTCCAAATTATTATCTTTCATAACTAAGAACAAAAACAAAACCAAGCTCAAACCAAGCAGCAAAAGAGCAAAACTTATAAAAATCATCAGAAACCATAAGCCAAGGAAAGAAATTTATACACATACCCTACATGCATGTTGGGACGTTTTCGGGACAATGCTAATTTTGTCGTTTTACATGTTACTTCTTAGGAAATTCACACAAATTTTGATGTACAAAATAAAATGAGGAACATACCTGCGTCATCAATATTATTTCTCGCAAATATATGTCTAAATACGCTTGATTAGATTCAATTGAAAAATTCAAATTTCACTAAGCGCAAAGACAACGGGACTCGTCTACAATTTGACAGGTTTTTAAAAATGGCTGACATGTCCATAGACAAATCATTATTTTCTTTGATCATTAGGGTCCACAGAGTGTTTTTATACCAGGAAAAATTGTGATAGACCATAGTTTGGTGTTGTAATTGAGAACAAAGTTGTTGTGCCGTTTTCGGCACAAAATGCATTTAAGCGGAAGTGGACTCTAATCGTTTTAGCGTTTACATGTTTTCCTACGATTTCCGCAATTTGTTCTGGGTGTATGCGTACAATCGTATAGAGGGTCCTAGGTACTTTGGTTCGAGTTTGTTATTTCTAGCCGTTTTTGCTACTTGTTTATATACTATGTCGCCTACTTTAAATTAAGCTGTCTCTTTATTTTTGTTGATTTTTTCTATTACTTGTTGTTTTTCAGTTAATTAAGTGAGGGCCAGCGGTGAATCCCAAAAAAAATGTGTTGAAATTACTTTAATTAATCAGTTACAATAATTAAGACTTAACTAAATATAACTATTTAATCGGCCCGATATTAGGTACACGACAAATAATCTATATTATAAACTTAACTAGTTGAGAATTGACCGGTCCGATATGACGTATCCGATCAAAAGCCCGTCTCCGTTGTCCGTTTCCTTATATAACGTAGTTGCGTAAGAGGGGTACTGGTATTGGGTGTGCGGGGCAAACGGAGTGCAATGGATATGTAACAAGTTAATAATTGTTTATTGATTGTTGCGTATTTTCCATAATTTGTTTATGTTTGGTAACAAATTCTAATGGACTTCACTGTCCGTACGTATAGGAGTTCAAAGGCCTTAAACCATGTGGCGGAATGAATAGTGTTGTTATAGGCTATTATCGCGTACTTCATTAAGTTGGTAGATTCATCTTTGTTAAACGCTGTATTCTAATGATTTCTGCTAGTGTGGAGTGTAACCTTTCTATAGGTGAATTAGAATTGGGGTTGTAGGGTGTGGTGAAATGTATGTGTAATGTGTATATTGTGTATTGCACATATGTCTGTTATTATTTCAATGTCAAATTTTGAATCGCAATCTGTTGTAATCTTTTTGGGTACTCCTACTGAGAACAGACTTAATAGGGCCTCAGCTATGTGAATGCTAGTTGAAGCGGTTAGAGGAATACCTCTAACCGGAAGCAATAGCTTGGGCGTATTTTGTGTAGTTATCCATGATAGTTAAAAATGTTGTACCTCCGCTACTATGCTCCGCATAAACATATGTTCCATTGGTTTATGCGGTGTGTCTGTTAGAGGTAAGGGTAGTTTTAACGGGTTACGTTCATACTTGCTTTTTAAGAAGCTGTCACATTTATTAATAAATTTTTGGATCGAAGTTAGTATATTAGGCCAGTGATAGTTTCTATGAATATGTTTGTATGTTTCTTGAATTCCTCTATGTATCGTCTTACCTTCGTGATATTTTCTGATCAACTCTATTTGTTCGGGAATGTTCTCTATTAAAGTGACGTGTGAGTGAGTTTTGTATGCTTCACAAAATATTGGAAAGTATTCCTCGTGATGGAAATAACAGTGGAAAATTCTATCTGGTATTGTGTGTTCCTTTAGGAATTGTATGATTTGTTCTCTTGTATTGTTTATTGGGATCCATACATCTTTAATTACTATTGTTCCTTTTGATCTATCGTCTATTCTATTTGTATCTCCCGGTGTTTTTCTGATGTGAAACTGTTTTAATTGTCTATCAATTGCGTCATCTATTTTTGGTATGTACGTACGTATCAGTGGTTGTGTTAGTAGTTTTTGATTGCGAGGGTTGTGTTTGATCTCGATGCGGTATTATGTCAGGTTGTGTTTCAGTATCTTGTGGTTGATTTGTGTTATCGGGGGTGATTGGTATATCTAATAGCGTTCTAATGTCTATATTTTCCAATTTCCAATTCTATGTCTTCCGCTGAGGTACTTGGTTGAGGGATATTAATATTTGTATGATTTGTATTCTTATTATATTTGTATGCGTTTGTGTTGGCTTTGCCTTTTTTATATTGTACGTCATCTATGTTAACTTTGAGTTGGAGTCTTTTATGGACATTATCCATGTTAGCGGGCGATGGTCTGTGTAACTGTATATGGTGAACTTTTTACCATATAGGTAAGGGAAAAAGTATTTTATTGCCCAGACTATACTTAGAAGTTCTTTTTCTATTGTAGAGTATCTTTGTTCTGTCTCTGATAGTGTTCGAGAGGCGTAAGCTACTGGTTTATCTGTTCCTATTGTTCCTTGCGATAGTACTGCGCCTATTGCTACGTCTGATGCATCTGTGGTGAGTATAAAGGGTTTGTCGAAGCCCGGATACTGTAATATTGGTGCATTAATTTACACCTCTTTGCATTTTTCGAATGCTTGTGTGTATTCGGGCGTGAAGTTGATTTTACTACCTTTTTAAGCACTTGGTTATGTTAAGATATGTTTACTTGTATCAAAATAGTCTACTTGATATCAGTCTGTGCTACTTGTAGTCTGTGCTAGTATGTAGTCTGTACATTGTACAACTAATAAAGTCTCTTTGTTCTCAACCTGCAACTCATTCGTTTTTATTAGGTTATGGGCCCAGACCCGTTTTTTTAAGTGTATTATGGAAGTTTAAAGTATTATCTTTATCCATACTGCTATAATAATGTCGGTGAATTATATAGCCAACGTCCCAAAGTTGAAGGGTCGTGAAAACTATGACGACTGGTGTTTTGCGGTGCAAAATGTTTTGGTGCTAGAAAACATGGCGGATAAAATCAAGACACAGCTATCAGCATCGGCGTCTGCGAGTGATATTGAAAGTGATGCTAAGGCCAAGGCAAAATTGATATTAACAATCGATACATCTTTATATGTTCATATCAAGCAGGCAGCTACGGCATATGATTTATGGTCTACGCTTAAACATATGTATGATGATTCCGGCTACATGAGGAAGATTAGTCTACTGAGAAATCTCATTAACATTCGGTTAGAAAACTGTGAGTCAATGGCACAGTATGTTACTCAAATTGTAGAAACGGGCCAGCGACTTCGAGGAACAGGATTCAGTATAACTGATGAGTGGATTGGAGCATTAATGTTAGCGGGATTGACAGAAAAATATGCGCCTATGATAATGGCCATTGAGCATTCTGGAATAGAGGTTAGTGCAGATATTGTAAAAACAAAATTGATAGACATGTGTGCTGATGATTATGTTGGTACTACATCCGGTTCGGAAAGTGCATTTATTGCGAAAGGAAGACATAGATTGAAAAGTGGCAATACTAAAAACGGCCATATTAATAGACAATCAGATATGACGCAACCTATCAAGGTTATAAAATGCTATAAGTGCAAGAAAATTGGCCACTTCAAAAACCAATGTCCTGAAGTTAAAGAAAAGCAAGTAAACGCATTTAGTGCTGCATTTTTTAATAGTGAATTTAATAAGGATGATTGGTATATTGACTCAGGGGCTAGTACTCATATGACATCATGCAGAGAAAATTTATTGGAAGTGAGAAAAGTACACGATATGAAGGAAATTATTGTTGCAAATAATATGACTGTGCCAGTTGTGTGTGCCGGGAATACACAGATAACTACGCTTGTGAATAATTCTCAGTTTGACATTAAAGTGAACAACATTTTGTACATACCTAACCTGACCACAAACCTATTATCAGTAAGCCAGCTAATAGCAAAAGGAAACAAAGTTATTTTCAAAAGTGATGTGTGTTATATACATAATCAACGGTAGGGCATCGAAACTCGGTCCAATTTTAAAAACCCGGGTTTTCGGGTCTAAGAGTAATCAATACCCGGGTACCCGGTTTTTTCGAGCATTTCGGTCTTTTTATTGATTTTTTTTTAATTCACTAATCTGCGTTTATATATCGATTTCCTAGAATGAATACAAAATATAAAGGATGAGGAAGAATTTAAATAAATGAAACAGTACTTTACAAATTACAAAAACAGTTTTAATGTTTAAAAAAGTGATAAAGATTTATTTTTTTCTTCAGAATATCTTAAAACTTGGTAAGTAATCTAGTATTTTTAAATCACAGACTTGCAGAGATTAGTTTTAACATTAAATGAATTATTTTGGAAACATTCACTTATTGTATTTATAAGCTAATAAAAATAAAATCTTCAAAAGACATTTTTGTAGTATCACAATTAATTTTAATATTAATAAAGCTCTTCTTCGCATTAACAATTAAGTAACGAATAATTCTAGTCTTCTATTCTACTATAATTTAAATTGCAGTCGTTTTCTTAATAATTAGGTCTTTATATAATTACCTAAAATACTAAGTAAAAAGTAGTTATGCATTTGACACATTATTTAAGACATAACCTCTGACCATCTGACCACTTTAGAAAAAAAGAGAGGAACGCTCTCGCCGTCGCGTACCGCCATTCTCGAAGAGTGCTATTTCTACCCTCACAGTAGTAGGTAAGCAAATCGTCTGATGGACAAGCTGATCCAGTTTCAGGAGCATTCTTATCAGTAGCAACAGCTTGACTTAACTGTCTGTTCAGTTCCTCTTCATTTGACAAAGTAGACAACTGAATGTCAATTTCTCGTAGGTCTTGGTCCTGTAGGCCGATAAAAACAGTTTTATCTTCATTTTGAATGTTCTCAAAATATTTACCCGGATTTGTCAAGTAGGTACTGTAGTGTGGCTG